TTTTTGTGCACCGGGCCCCTAGTATATATATATATTTAATCCTCACCAATGGATATTTTTTCCCATTACTTTTTCAGAGAGTGGGAGGAAGGGAGGGAGGGAGGGGGGAAGGGGAGAGGATAAGGTAGAGGGCTGTATGTCCTCTTCGGAGAAGTGTCTATTCAGGTTCTCTGCCTCCTTTTTATTTTATGTGTGTGTGTGTGTGTGTGTGTGTGTGTGTGTGTGTGTGTGTGTGTGTGTATGTATTTCAGAGAGGAAAGGAGAGGGGGAGAGAGATAGAAACACCAATGATGAGAGAAAATCATTGACTGTCTGCCTGCTTTTTAATTGGATTTGTTTGGAGTTTTTTGGTTTTTTTTGCTGTTGAGGTGTGTGAGTTCTTTATAAATTTTGGATATTAATCCCTATGGGATGTATCATTGGTGTATATCTTCTCCCATTTAGTAGGTTGTCTTTTTGTTTTGTTGATGTTTTCCTTTGCTGTGCATAAACTTTTTAGTTTGATATAGTCCCATTTGTTTATTTTATTTTCCTTGCCTAAGGAGATATATCAGAAAAAAATATTGCTAAGAGAATTTCAACAGAGTATTTTTATATCTTTTTTCTGACTTGAATTAATTATTTACTTTAACAAAAGCCTTGTAAGACCTAATTTATGTCTTATTAAAGGCAATATCTTTCTTTCCATTAACTGTAGAACAAGTAGGAACAGGTGGCTTCAGGGACCTTTGTCTGATTCAGCTTGCCCATAAAGTCTTGCCCTCCGAAAAGTGAGAATCATAAAAATGTGCAAACCAGCTTTCCAGGTCTTTTTAAAATGTTTTACATTTTTACCTCTTCTTAATTTTCACTGGTAGGAACCTTCAGCCTATGGTGTCATCCCAAGTTTGAGGATCGCTGTCAGTCAGTGGTGGAGTTCATTAAGAGAGCCATCATGCACTCTAAGAATGGGAAGTTTCTCTATTTCTTGAGATCCAGGGTTCCAGGTATGGCTGTGGTTATTATAAAATTATTTAACTTACTTGGGTATAGTCTAGTATAGTATCAAAATGCACCCTCCCTCCAAAAAAGGCCACACTTGCTTAAAGCTTTTTATCTTGGCTCTTACAGGAAACCCTCTTTCTAGAGTCCAGTGGTTAGTCCCTTACCCTTGTACATTAATCCCTCAATATACTGAGAAGGAACCTTTGCTTCTCTAACCACATGAGTTAGAAAACTGATCCTTCCTCCGATGTCCAGGCATCATGTGAATAGTTTACACTCTGAGATGTCTCCTTGTCCCTGATCCACGCATCTTACACTTACATGTGAAACAGAGGTGAGAGCTCTCAGCTCATTTCCACGGAACAGGGGAGGTAAAAGAGTGTTCACTAGAAAGGCAATGGTAAGGGTCAAGAATAGATTCTCTTGAGTGAAATATAGTAGTTGTAGTTCTGCAAATGGAAATCAGCAGCCTTTGTGGAAGAAGCTTTTGCACAGAACACATAGGTAAACTATAAAGAAGCCCATTTCCTTTCCCTGAACTCTTCATCAGGGAAGTCATAGTTGCATTGTTCCTACTGAATATTTCTTTTGGTTTTTCTTTCTTGAAGGACTGCCACCAACTCCAGTGCAGCTGCTCTATCCAGTGTCCCGATTCAGCAATGTCAAATCCCTACAGCACCTTTGCAGATTCCGAATCCGACAGCTCGTCCGGATAGATCACATCCCGGATCTCCCACTGCCTAAGTATGATGTGGTCTTTAGGGTTGGGGCAAGAGGGAGGATTACTTAGAAATGTTAGTGAGGCCTGCAAGCCAATTGCACAGGCAGAGCCTGGCAGTGTTCACAGGTTTCACTTCTCCTTTGTCCCGACACCTAACTCTAGAACTGTTGTTACATTGCAGCCAGAAGGGAGGAAGGTGTGTGTGTCAACCTCCCTTCTGCAGTCTCTATGAAGGGTGGAGGGAAGGAGACAGAACTATAATAAAGTGAGAAAATGGGAATTTTGTTAGGGTTGCAAAGTGTTTGGAGTAGTCTCAACCTTATAGGGATTGAAAAGAAGGAAGAGTTGAACAAAGGTGGTCTTTCTTTTCAATCTACGTAAATGACACTTTGTGTGTATTCCTCTTATGTTTTTTGCAGACCTCTGATCTCTTATATCCGAAAGTTCTACTACTATGATCCTCAGGAAGAGGTATACCTGTCTCTAAAGGAAGCGCAGCTTATTTCCAAACAGAAGCAAGAGGTGGAACCGTCCACGTAGCGAGGGGCCCTGCTGGTCACTACTGAGGGTATGAGCTCTCTGCCTCTCGTCCAGCCATGTCTCTTCCTGGGCAGTTGTCATCATGCATGGGCCTTGTCCCCCAACCCCCACCATCCCGTGTGTATCCAAACATCTGCCCATAGAGTTACCACATCTGATAACAGAATCCCTAAGGGGCACCCCAATTGGAAAAGAGCAGGTAGACGAGGGAGACTTAAAGAATATTTTTGCCAAGCAACGTGCAGGCTAACTGCTGGATATGAAGAAGGAGAAGGACACACACGTGTAACTAAGTGTTCAGCCTTCTCTCATACTTCAGCTGAGCTCCCTGATATTGCACAAATGATATACAAAGCTGGAAGCCAAAGGAATCTTTATCAAAGGAAATGTAAACATGCCTTCAATTGCAATAGAAATACACTTCATTAAGAGCTCCACTGTGTCCCATGGCTCGGGATGGGGGAGAGAAAAAACAGCTCGCTCTTCCCTTTAGGGATCCATTTAGGCCACTGAAAAGTAAATTGTTCAATAGAATAAGTGAATTAACTAAGGAATTCACTTCTCTAAGAGGCTATTCTCCCATTGCTACACTAAGTTCTGATTTATTTTCCCATAAAATATCGTGGAGTACTGGTTTGTGCAGATGAGTTCTAATTAGTCTTTTAAATTTCATTAAGGTGAACATTGAAAAGTAGAGGTGAGTAGGGACCAAATTCCCACAGAATAGTGGTTTTGGTAGTGTGGGTTTACATGCACAATCTCACATTCTAGAGATGGGGTGCGTGATAACTCATCCCCATCTTTAGTGTGGAGTTTCCTTTTTAAAAATACATATATTTTGCCCTAACTGGTTTGGCTCAGTGGATAGAGCGTCGGCCTGCAGACTGAAGGGTCCCAGGTTCAATTCCGGTCAAGGGCATGTACCTTGGTTGCGGGCACATCCCCAGTAGGGGGTGTGCAGGAGTTAACTGATCGATGTTTCTCTCTCATCGATGTTTCTATATTTTTATTGATTTCAGAGAGGAAGGGAGAGGAAGAAAGAAATAGAAACATCAATGATGAGAGAGAATCATTGATCAGTTGCCTCCTGCACGTCCCCTACTGGGGATCAAACTCGAAACCCGGGAGTGTGCCCTGGCTGGGAATTGAACTGTGACCTCCTGGTTCACACGTTGATGCTCAGCCACTGAGCCACGCCTGCTGGGCTCAGCTCCTTTTTTAATCCCTAGAGTAGGTAGTCCTCGGCTGGGAGGGTGGTAGAAATAGGCGGAAAATTAAGGAGTAAGGGAAATGGAAAGAGGGAAGTTAGAACCAGTTTTTGGCATCCAGGTTATAGGCTACTCAGGCCTCCTGACAAAGGCTGTTGCTGCATCCCCAGCCAGCTACAGTGTTTGTGGAAGTGTTTGGCTCCATTCTCCTTTTGAGCTATACTCCAGAGGCTGGGCTATTCACGTCACTCTATTCTGGTTCCACTCTGGTGAACCACTCTAATTTCTTTTACCTCCCCTTCCCACTAGGCATTTGGTTGCCAAGCTCCGGTTTTGAAGAACCAAATGAAGGTACCATGAAAAGAGGAGTGAGGAAAAAAACAAGAACTAGGAAGGGTTGGGATCCTCTGTGCAAAGACTTTGGTCCCCCTCGCCACCCTGGGGCTTGGAAGAAGCACACAACCACACTGTCTGAGTGGGGCTCCAACCTTTCCCATCCGCCCATCTGGTGTCTTGGAACTGGATGAGCTCCTGGAAAACTGGAAGAAGTCTCAACACTGTTCCCTTTTCACAACTTTTGTTTTGGATATTTACATTTCTTGGTATGGAAAACTCAAAGGCAGCTGGGTTTTGCGTCCATTGGATTGGAAGTGGTGTGAAGGGTGAGCAGGTCCAAAGGAGGGTTGGGTTGGGGATGGCCAGTGCCGGTCAAGCAGCTGGTGCCAAAGGCAGATGCGAGTCTTCACCATTGACCTTGAAGAAGGGGAGGAGTCTAGTGCAAATGAAGTTAGGAGTTTCTGGAGGATGAGAATCTGCTTCTCTTTAAGCATATGTAGCTTCAGTAGGAGCAGGAAGGAAAGAGATGGGTGGTCTCAGAAGATTACTGCACAAAAACTGGCAGATGGCCTCTGCCGGGGGAAGTAGTGACTCCTTGAATCCTTTCCTTTTAATTTAGGAACCTGATTTCAGAATCACCTCTCATAGAAGCTGGATTCGTTTTGTTTTATTTAATTTTTAAGCTCTGTGACCTCAAGTTAACCTCATTCTTTCTCCATCCTCAACCTGTTCCCCAAGATAACTGTACATTTCACTATGGTCATGGTCACATCATTCCTATTGCTTTTGCCAGCTGTCAAGGCAGTAGTTTTTTCATCACCTGAGCAGTAGCGCTCCAATCATGGCTGCTGAAGTTAATGGAGCGTGCCTCCAGATTCTTAATGGCAAACCGTACCCATGACTTAGGAGCCAGTGTTACTTACCTCCAGATGTCTGTCAGCTAGTGAGAGGGACTGTGGAGGAAGGGTGTGAAGCGAAGCTATCATGGTTGTGCTCTTCCTACAGAAAGCTCTCTAGTGTCTCAACTGTAATAGGATGTCCTTAGATCAGAGAGGAGAAGAGCGCTACATCTCATGGTGTATCACTGTCGCCCCACTTCTGGAACGGGAGGTAGCAAGGGCTTCTTCATTTTCCTGTGTTCTTTCTGGCAACCCAAACATTTTCCTGGGTCAGATCCTGTTTGTCCTCCTTTGACTGGGATTCTGTCAGATGCTGATTTCAGAGTTGCCAGTCTTCCAGTGGAAGTGAGAAGGAGGAAGAAAAACTCCAGTGCTTCTCAATGGCCCTCAATTCTCTGAAGCAAGCCATTGTCAGATCATGTAAGATTATGCGTTTGCTTTTATGTAGAGTTACTCTGGGGAAAGGTTTGCTATTAAGATGTGAAAATTGAGCTGTTTGGTCTTTACTGCTCTTTTGCAGTAGTGTTCCATTAGTCTGCCTCATTTGCTTCCTCTGTGCTTATCTCTGTCTCATCTCATTAGATAAATAGTACTGTCAGGTTTCTCGTTTCCTGATGGCTTGGGGTGAGGCCCAGTGATTTTGGGCCTCACCTTGTAGCTGAGCAGGGAGGAAACGTGCATTGTTATTTGCCTCTGAAGAGGTGGCCCCAAAAATGAGCTGTGAACCATAAATACAGCCACCTCTGGTTTGTCAGGAGGTCCTTCTTTCTGGCCTCCATGGTAGTCTTACCAGCCAGTTAAGACTGTGATCTCAGAAATGGACTTGACCTGTGAGTCTTGCTTCTTGAGGGTACAGATTAATTTGCCAAGGAAACGTGCATTGTTATTTGCCTCTGAAGAGGTGGCCCCAAAAATGAGCTGTGAACCATAAATACAGCCACCTCTGGTTTGTCAGGAGGTCCTTCTTTCTGGCCTCCATGGTAGTCTTACCAGCCAGTTAAGACTGTGATCTCAGAAATGGACTTGACCTGTGAGTCTTGCTTCTTGAGGGTACAGATTAATTTGCCAGCTTGCAGAAAGCACCACCCCACCCCCCCCCCACCCCCACCACCATTGAGC